GCAGCTTCCTTCTTCTTTGATTTTGAATTTTAAAAAACTTTAAAATTCGTTCTTGCAATCCCTGTCAGCCATTTTGCAAGCGTAGACTGCACATAAAATCAAGGTCAGTCTTACGTATTTTTTATACCAAAATTTTTCGAACCAGTCTGTAATGTTTAAACCGAAAGTTTACAAACCGAAAGTAGATTTTTCTGGAAAAGGTTATCATTTTAAAATAACTTCTTTGTGTTAGATTTAACTAACGTTAGTATCCAAAAAAGTATAGATTTTCTGGAAAAACGGATCCGCATAACTTGATAAGGTTATCATTTTAACTTCTTTGTATTAGATTTAATTAGTATCAATATGTATTTAATGTATCTTAGCTTAATTAATTCGGCGTTTGACTCATTTCCTACTGCCAAACTGGGACATACGATAGAGTCACAGTACCTGTGCTCGACCAGCCCAGTGCTCGACCAATACTTCTATTTGTGTATGATTTATGCATTAAAGTGAAAAAACCCTGGGAGTTTGTGTGTGCTATTTGTACCTGACCTGTAACCTCTACACATGTACAAGTACTCCAAGTTTGGTAGAAGATTGACCATTTTTCAGACAATATTAAACAGTTTACAAAAATACAATTCTATAATACAAGTAGTAGTAAAAAACTATTTAAAACACTGAAATAATGATAATTTAGGGCAAATGTGGACAATACTTTGTTAAATTGCCTTTTACTTTTATGACTCCAATTGATTTCCATAGGAAAGGTGTTCAAAAATTATCAAAACCCTGCTTTCCATAAAAGGCAGGGGCTATGAACATGTAAACAAATATGGCAGCTGTACGGAAAAAAAATCGGGAACACACCACTTAAAGCGTAGACAATTTGTATATTACACCAATTATCACACTTAACTAATGTTTGCAGAATGATTTAGTAAAAAAAAAATATGAGAATAAGTAATCTCAAACACCCCAGTATATGCAAATTCCAAAACTCTTATAAAACACTTTATTTGTCAATGTATAGCATTTCCTTTGTATCATATTTTGCTCTCATATTTTCATCTATAGACACTAAAACATAAATGTTTCAAACTATTTTTGAAATAGAATTGTTGAACTTTAAAAAGTCATATCTGTTTTTAAGAAATAAAAGTTCTGATAAAGATAAAAAACCACCTGGTCGAGCACTGGTTTGGTTGTCTGAAAAATATAGTGGTTTTATACCCTATATACAACTCCGTGGTAAATTGTATCCTAATCTCTTTTATTAAAACGCTTTAGCTTATTGTGAGTTTGAAAGGTCCAGCTTTGTAACAAAAATAAGTTTCCCAGCAAACCTTTTGTTCTGAAAGAGTTTTTATGTGATTTTGTGAAAAACTGGTTGAGCACTGGTACGGTGACTCTATATCGTATATCCCAGTGCCAAACAAATGGTCAAACTCTCCCTTTCAAGTTACTCCCCATAATCGTTTCCTCCCCCCAAGACAGGCCTGTCTCATATTGAATCAATTTGTTGAAAGACCGTCAAGATAGAACATCACAGATTTCTTACACATGCACGAGTACATGTATCGGACCTGGGAAGAAAATATCTATAAAGAATGAAACAATATTAGAAATCTTCGACCATTCGGGAACTACTTTGCTTGAAAATTAATGCGCCTGTCATTTGACAATACGCATTGATCTGTCCTGAATTTTTCGGCGTTATTAGGGGGCAGGGGACATATTCGTATGACGGCCCCGGTCAAATTTTTTAATAACTCAGACATGATGTTTTGAAGGTACTGATAACTTCTGATATTTCTCTGTCATTGTAATTCTTTCTTGTTTGTGTGTAGGAAATGAGATATATTTTTGGGTTTTTACCCGAAACTAAGCATTTTGGTAGCTTTGTATGTATTTCTGACTCTCCGAATGGAGGTGAAAAAGTTAAAAATCAAGCTTTGACAGTTGGCGCCAAACAAGTAAGAAATTTCAGATAAATTTTGTGAAAAATCTAAACGTATGACAGACACTTTATTTGTCATTTCTGAAAATGCTATAGCTTGCACTGCGTGTTACTGATATTTTTAAAGGAATCGGGCGGATTCTGGAGTATGCTGCACCTTCATGAAGATTGCCCATATTGGTATATTTTAGGTGTGATTTTGGCTGGGTGGGGGTAAATATAAATTGCTGTCAGTCATTTTTTGAAGGAGCAATGCATGCAAACTATTATTTTCTTCAATGTATGTCATATATCATTGAATAATGCTGTGCAACTGGTTATCTGCCTGTGAAACAGATTTTGAAATATTTGGAATTGTGTTTCTGGTCACACTGAAATACAAAATTTTTCATTTTTATGTCCCCTGCCCCCTACATATAAAGGGAAGTAACCGCCTAAAAAAAGTGGCATTTGCAATTAACAGCATTAGGCTCTGAACTTTCGCTACCATTATTTGTTTGGTCTGACGACCCAAACAAATAAAAACCTCTGTGTCAAAAAGTGATATACATGTATATGCCCCCTTAAAATATACTATAAGTTAAGAGTTTCAGTTTTCAGGAACGGGAAGGGCTAGAGACTAGAGGTCAGTCTCATTTGGAAGCTTAATACAAACGTGAAATAGTGATACAAGTTTATTTTAATTATCTGGACAATTGTATTCACAACGTCCCGGGAAATTAACCCCTTGCTCGCAGACTCTAATCTGGAATTTCCTGCCTTGGCTTAACTTAAAGTATATTTATAAGGGGGCATATATTTCACTTTTGGTTTTTGACACATTTAAGATTTTTTTATCAATGTGGTCATATTTTCTTCCCAGGCCTGTGGGTATGCGCACTGCAACCAGTCCATGCACAATCTTGAAAACATTCGGAGTCTAACATCAGTTCTCCTACTTGTATTTTCCAGGGAACGCCAACCTAACTTATCTAACATAAGGGAGACACTATTGTATGTAGAATAGTCCTTAGTAACACACCGCGCAGCTCTGCGCTGGACCATTTCAACTTTGTGGATGTTCTGCTGAGTGTAAGGACACCAGACAGAACTGGCATATTCAAGCTGGGGTCTAACCAGGGTTTTGTATGCAAATTCCCTTACGCTTGAATTTTTAGAAGGGATATTTCTTTTAAGAAAGTTAGTTTTACTAGCCTAAGAGGTAACATGATTGACTTTGTTCCAACTTAGATCAGAGTAGAAAGTAACACCAAGGTACTTTGCGTCATTGACATTTTCTAGGACTTGGAGTGAATATACTGACTTGAATGGTTGTTTTGACTTGGTAATATTTAACACCGTACACTTAGAAGGGTTGAACTTCATGTCCCATTTGCTTTCCCATAGCTGTAACCTGTCAAGGTCTTGTTGTAAGATCCTTTCTTGGGAATTGTAATTGACTGCTATATAAACAGCAGTGTCATCGGTAAATAATTGGACCCTGAAACTAAATTCAGTAGATTTTCCTTATTTAGAATCCAACGAAAAAGGTAACCTTGAACTGGGCAGGGTTTGAAAGACCCTGGTCTGGGTTACTAATAAGTATCAATAATGAATTACTCATCCATACACGAGTATTGAAACATATTGTTATACATGTATACAACATTGTTATAGTAAACGTTTTTATTCATTTATGTAATTTCTGATTCAATAACAACAAAATTTCGACAATTTCAATCTGCGTTTTTTTGCAAGAATAAGGGTTGATCGTCACATTGTATCACTACACTTTGTCGTATCGGGAATGGGTGGACAGACATATGAATTGAGTAATTTTGTTGTAACTGGCGAGTATTTAAATAAATAGACGGACACGAGAAACGAATAAAAATATGAGTCGCGTCACGACAAAACCAACGTAATGCGTTTGCGCAGTCTGATCAGAATCCACGCTGTTCGCTTACAAACCCTATTACACGTAGAGAAACTGATAGCGAACAGTATGGATCCTGATCAGACTGCGCGGATGCGCAGGCTGGTCTGGATCCATGATGGTCGCAAACCCACTATGTTGGTTTTGTCGTGACGCGGCTCAATTAATTTTTAGACAACCAGAATGTAGCATTTATCAGCTAATCATTCAACAACATATTTTTAAACATTTTTCAGATAACTAGACACTATGTCAACAAGCAACAAAATACGGGGCTATGCTGTTGTTATTGTAAATGAAAAAGAGGTTGATAACTCCGGCTTTAAAGAACGGAAAGGTGCATCCAATGATTCGGATTTCATTCAAGCATCTTTCTGTAACAAACTTGGTTTTAAATGGTTGAATCAAAGTCAAAGTAGGGATCTGAAAAAGTCACAGTGGATTCATTCCGGAGATCCACCGAAAGAATGCGATTGTTTGACCTGCAAGATTCAGAAAACAGACCATTCAAAGTCCGAGTGTTTCCTACTAGTCATTAGTACACACGGAAGAGAGGAAGAAGGACAACAGATAATCAGATTTAGTGATGTCAAGAAGATTTATCTAGCAGACGTGATTGATACGTTAAGTGATGACAAATGTCCGTCTCTTGTAGGAATACCTAGAATTGTGGTATTACAAACTTGCAGGACGAACAATAAATTACCGGAAGGTAAGGATGCCAAGGTGATGTACGTGTAGATCAAGATACTATCATATCGAAATATCCTATTGCTATTACAGACAAAATTTGAAACAAAGCTGAAATTATTCAAGTAAAATGTTAGTATAGATTCGTTCCAGTTTGAAATCTGATACAATTGCACATTTAGAAGTTCAGTCTTATTGTTTTAAGGACACTTTTGACGGAACTGACACTTAATGTGTATTCATTGATAATGGTAGTTGGTCTTTCACGTACATTAAAAATGCGATCTTGGTCTATAGTAACCAAACGTCTAATGTATGTTTCTGTGTCTTTTCTTTTATACTTTTTACTACATATTTACATGTCACAGTTGCGATTAAATATAGGTCAAGCAAGAAGTATAGATTTGCATGTAAAACAAATAATTCTTTATGCAATACGGTATAATAATGCACTTTGAAACCTAGAAATGGACACTGCCCTTCCAATTCAAAGTGACTGTATTTTCCAGTAGTCTGAAACTATATTTATACATTTTTACATTTTGTGTGCTAAAAATAGCAACGTTTAAGTAAATGATGAAATAATAAAATCTCATTTCTGTAAACTGTTTATAATAAGTTAATTTGATTGGCTGAATTTTTGCGCCGGTTTTAACACATTTTTGGTTTGATTTCTGAACAAGCGCTGAGGACAAATGGACTCAATGTGTGCGAGATCAATTCGCCTAGTCGGAGAATCGAACCTCTTTATTTCAGATACGATGAGCTTTCTATTGAGTTTAGCGGATGGAGACAGCAGTAAAAATAAAATGAACCGTAAGACGCAAATCAGTCTAATTAACAAAGGTGATAAATAGATTCAAAACATCTCTAGCTATTAGTCATAATTATTATATGTATACTTTATTCAGAAAAAAGACATGATATGTCAATCATCTTACATAGCTAAATATATTAATACACAAAAGATTGTAATATCTAAATTTCACAATAAAATATCATCACAATGGCAGTCAAACAGTATATAAACAGTAAATAACAAATTGTATCTAATCTGCAATCACCTGGAAAAAATATATATCTAACTGATTTTAATTCACAAATCATGTTTTTAACTTTAACAGGGGAGAATTTCTGGTGACTTAAGAAAAAATAATAAAGAAATACAATTTTAACAATTACATAATACGATATATGCAAGATCCATCAATTCTTGTACATGCACATGTATATATCTATATATATTTTACATAATTCGATTCAAATATTGTGTTCTTAGTTCAAAACTTTTTAAGACATACAATGATAACTTCTGAATAACTACTTTGTTATCATTGTTTAAAAGCTCAGTAAATTTTAATACATTAGCATTTCTCCAAAAATATTCTTTTATATATCGTTTTCGTAAATCAATATACAGAGGACACTCTAGTAAAAAATGAAATTCATCCTCTAATGTTTTACAAATTAAACATTTACGGTCTGAATATGAGATTTTTGAAGGTTTGTGCCACCTGCCTGTTTCTATTTCTAATCTATGCGCCGAAACCCTAAGCCTTGATAATGCAATTCTTAATTTGATGTTTTTGATAATATCCAAATACGGCTGAAATTTAAATTTTGCATATAAATTATATGTTCTTGCTCCAGATGACCCTTGTAGTTGACTATTCCAATTTTGAATAAAACCATCAGTAAGTCTGCTTTTAAAATATTCCAAAAATAAAGTTTTATTTCCTACTCCCTGAAACAACCATGCATAACTAAAACCTAGATTTTCTAACAACTCTTTAATAGATTTAGCCCAAGAATTCTTTTGGGGATGCAAATCTAAATCATTCAACATTAAGCAATATACCTTTTTAATATACTTATTTTCATCACTTTCAATAATTTTAAACCAATAGCGTACAACATTTACTAACTGTTTATAAAATAAAGTTGTGCGCCCCAGTTCACCATATATAAAATTATTTTGTGTTTGAGGCCTAACTCCTAGTAAATGTTTGCAAAATTGTAAGTGAACTCGTTCTATTTTTTTCTGAATTATAGAAACCCCACACCTCACTACCATAACTTAAAATGGGTAAAATAAGTTTATCAAATAGATTTAAACAATGACTTATTGTAAGACAAGGGAATTTCACTAGATACGATTTTAATTTGAATATACCCTTTAAAGCTTGACCACTTAATGTTTCACATGTTGATTGAAAAGAACCACCAGTACTAAATACAATACCTAAATACGAAAAAGAATTAACTACTTCAATAGCAGAATTTTGATATATGAATTCTAAGTTTTGTCTATTTCTCCCGCCTTTTCTAAAAATCATAATTTTTGTTTTATTCACGTTTACTGTTAATTTCCATCTAGTACAATAAATATCTAACAAATCTAAACCTTTTTGTAAACCTGACTCTGATTCTGAAAGAATTACAATATCATCTGCATAAAGCAGTAGAAATATTTTTAAACAACCTAACTCAACTCCTTCGAATCCATTTATAGAGAAATGTTCCTCAATGTCATTCAAATACATGGAAAATAAAAAAGGTGATAAACATTCCCCTTGACGTACCCCAAGCATACAAACAAAATCTTCACTAACATTATTGTCATATTTAACACATGACTTAATGCTCTTATACATGGATTGTAAAATATTTAAAATGTTCCCTCTCACTCCCAATTTAATCAATTTAAACCACAGAATGTCTCTAACAACATAATCAAAGGCTTTTGTAAAATCCACAAATGCAACATATAACTTTTTATTTAAATTTAATAGATGATTTATAATACCATTTAAAACAAAAATATTATCAATGGTTCCCATGTGCTTTCTAAAGCCTGCCTGTGCCTCAATATAAACATTATAATTTTCAGCCCATTTACATAGTCTGTTATTTAACACTTTTGAAAATAATTTCCCAAATGTACTAAGTAAAGTAATTCCTCTATAATTTCCTACTTCATTAACGTCTCCTTTTTTATGCAATGGAATAATAAACCCTTCTGTCCAGACCTCTGGAAAATAACCTGTAGAAAATAACTTATTAAACAATAAAAATACTCCTTTAACAAATATATCATTCTGCGAACCGTACTTAAAAAATTCAGTTAAAACATAATCTGGGCCTGCAGATTTACCTATATTTAATTCTCTACATGCTTTCACTATTTCTAAATACGACAATTCAACATTTAATTCTGAGAACATACACTGGAGTTCATTATTCAAATAACGTTCAATAAAATATAAAATGTCCTCGTCTGGCTGAAAAAATACAGAGTCCGGATCATTGATAGCTTTAAAATATTGTACAAAGTTATCAGCTGTCAATGTATTTGATTTATTTTATTTAAATCTGTACTTTTTAACAAATTCCAATAGGCCTTTGCATTAATAAATCTCAAATTTTCTAATTTCTTTGTTTGGTCACAATCATATATATATTTCTTTTTTCTCAATATACTTTTATACTCGCTTCTAGCACTCACCATATTTTTTCTGGATTCATCACATTTATTTTTTCTAAAATCATTTAAACTTCTATAAAACGCAACTTGTTTTTGTTTACAGTCACTATCATACCATATTTTTTTATCTTGAGTATCTGTAACTTTAACATTTTGTTGAAAAATTTTCTTTTTAAACAGTGTTGAACATACTTCATCAATAATACAATAAAAATCTTGTAAACTTGAGTCAATTTCCTCATTTGTAGATGAAGATTCTAATTTTGTATTAAACTCATGTAGTTTATTGATAATTTGATAATTATTTAATGAATCTAAAAATAACTCTTTTTTCTCATTTTCCCATTTATATTTATGTGATACAGTATTGCTTTCTGCCTGAACATTGAGTTCTATGTTACAATTGGTAACATTGTGTGAAATTGTATAATTAACAACACAATGATCTGATAAAATATTTGGTTCTTGAACTTTAAATGAAGAGACATGCTGAAAAAAGTCACTTCTACATAACACCATATCTACAACACTACTACCAGCACTATTAACACACGTATAATTACCACAGTTCTTATCATCACCTAATCTGCCATTTACAATACGCATACCAGTGGCTTTACAAAAATTTAACAAATATTTGCCATGCTCATTAACCTTTTTATCTTGGCTGATTCTAGGTAATTCATTATCTGTTACATAATTCCAAGATAAAATATTTTCATCAAACAGATTATCATTTTCAACAAAATCTGACCTTCCGCCAACACGTGCATTCAGGTCACCGTTAATTATGAAGTGACATCTATCATTGAACATATTTTCAAAATAAGACATATCATCAATTATAATATCAAACATATTCTGTTCAGTTAACATTTCCCTGCTACTTCCTGAAGGTATGTTATATGCTAAACACAAAATAACATCTTTTTCAAAATTAAACACACATTTGTCTATTTGCAGCCATATAAGGCAGTCTGTGTTACATTTTAATAGTTTCACATGTTTGTTTATTGCTTCCGAAATATAGATAATTAAGCCCCCGCTATCTCTTTTTGAACATTTATTTTTCCGCTCTCTATTCAATATATATGTAGCAAAATTTGGAACGCTTGGATTAAATGTGTCATTCAACCATGATTCCGTAAATAAAACTATATCATTTTCTTTAAATATTAATTTTGGTTTCATCGGAGTCTAACTTGTTATAACTTTTGCCCATTAGTCCCTGCACATTTAATCAGCACACTCTAATTCCTGAATTCCCCCCTTCGGAGCCCTATAGTTTGGGATTTTCCGTGTCTGTTTCACTATAATATTGGTCATTTCCACTGGATTCTGATTGGTCGCGTATATAAAGTTTGCTCATTTTCACATTCCCCCCAGTATCAAGTACCGACTGATTTGGTTGACTGCTTGCGCGTTTCTTGTTCTTCTCAGATCTATTTATAGATGATCTTCCGGGTGTTGACACATTTCTAGCACGTGCTTTTTCACTTGTTTTGTGTTTGGTTACTAAAGTTAAATTTGAATTTGTATTTTGTATTGGTGCTTGTTTATTCAACATTTTGGATTTATAATTCTCGCTGCTTGACGGATTAACTTGACTTTTAGATGGTAAGTCGATATTGATTTCATTCACTTTGTTTTGATTTTTATTTACCTGTAAAGGTGTAGATTCAGCCGAAATGTGATTTTCATGAGTTTGCGAAAAAACATTTTCGTCACTTAACTCGACATCAATTTCTGTTTCTTGCGAATAAAGTCTCTGTCTAATCTGTTTGTTCTCATGCTCAATATAGGCCAGTTCCTCCATGCGATCTCTCCCATTACATTGTACCATTCTGGAAACATATCCCGGACCAAATTGCCATTTATAATCAATTTTGCTGGATAAATGATTTGCACTTTAGCCCTTTTTTCTCTAGCCAGTCTCGCTTCTTCCGACAAGTACAACACTTTCCTAGCTTTTGATATCTCAAGCGGATAGTCTCTATCAACTCCAAACGGTGTTCCTTTCAATTTGTATGACTGCTCCATGACAATATTAGTGCAGTCAAATTCTTTGAATTTAACAATTAGTGGCCTTTTAGGATCTTGATTGTTTCTATTTTTCTGATTGTACCTATATCCTAGCCTGTGTGCCCTTTCAATTTTCATGTCTGTTGTCATTTTTTGATAAATTCTCTGTGATATTATAAAATATGATATTGTTACGTCTATTTCTTGCTTCACTATCTATAGAATGATACGTAAGGTTTTTCAACATTAGTGTTTGTATATCACACATTTTCTCCACTTTCTTGACCCTCTCATTTGTAGTTACGTAACCTTTGTTTACCACATCAAATTTTCTTTCTACATTGTCAATTTTCTCTATAGCTTTGTTCATTTGATCAAACATACATGTAAGTTATAGCTGCAACTAGATAACGTAATATACGTGAGAACATTACATATTGTATGTGTAAATAATATTAATATACCTTTAATTCTTCAGAGCTAAGAGATGATCAAGGGTTTGAAGTTACAGTTGGGATAGGACAACTCGTAAGTATTTTAAAATTTTCATCTTAATATAGTACTTGTACATTTACATCCATTTATATATACGAGGGATGTTTCATAATTAATACAATTTCACTAGAATCTCAAAAGACCCGTGTAGTATTCGCATTAAAATAATCAACATTTCAGATACTAATACATAAAGTGTTAAAGAACACTATTGTTTACCGACAAAGTTATAGCAGTTCGCAAAAATAGGTTTATACATTACAATATGTGCAAATATGACCGATGATGTCCAATCATAATGGTACTGAAATTCGCCTTTTCATTAAAATCAACGCATGTTTTTGTGACCTGTAAAGTGTATGATAGATCATTAGATCATGTATTAGATCAAATGAGATTTTATAAAGATTGATGGTTTCACTGTTTTAACTATAGTAGATATCGGCTAAAAAACTGCAAGAAATTATTCGTCGGAAATTTGGTGTCCCTAAATAGCATGAAGGCACGCGTGATTAACGTTTTGCTTGTTTGCTTATCTCTGTCATATTTGTAAATTAGGACTGAAAGCAATCCCACATTTATGATCCAAAGTACAGAAAGCGACGTGGGTCAAACATGTTATTGTGCAATTATTAGTACCGACAAACTGATGACCAACAGTGCTTATATTATATTATCCGCTTCGAAACTAAATTATTAATTTTAACCTTTTATGCGTCTTGAACAGAATAAACAATAACACTACTATTGTTTCAATATTTGTGTATACATATCAATATAAACACTTATTTTTGTGTGGTTGATGAAACCATGGAACAAGAATTATCACGAATTAAAGCTGCGAAACAAACCATTATTTCGATAACTTGTTGATTTAATTCGTTCTTATATAACAACTCAAACACATTCTAACGTTTAGTTTGTAAAATAAATAAAATTTGGCTAATGTCAAAGCACCACTTGCGGGCTGGGTTGTTTAGCAATGCAATCTTTTCAGAACTGCGGGGTCGTACTAGTTTGTTTTCAACATTCTTTTGTACTTGCGTGAACGCTATAGTTGTTCAAACTTGCCTCTGCTATATTTTATTTAACATTGTAGCGTTCACAGTTGAATAGTAAATCGCCTTTGTTAATTCAAGAGTGGTGAGCTTGTCGAAAAGATGTCAGTTTGGTAGATTAAATACTTTTTAGCTCACCAGAACCGAAGGCTCAAGGTGAGCTATTAGTATCAAAGGGGGATGCTCCGTCGTCCGTCGTCATGCTCAACAATCGTCTTCTTCTCTGAAACTACTGGGCAGATTTACTTCAAATTTGGTCGGTAGCATCCTTGTGACAGTCACACTTAAATTTGCTCATGTCATTCCAATTGGCCCCTTTTAGGGGCTGCTAAAGCTAAAAATAGAAAAACCTTTAAACGTCTCCTTCTACAGAACTTATCGATGGATGATCACCAAACTTTGTCTGTAGAATTCTTCGGTAGTCTTTTATCAGGTTTTGTTTATATTAATTTGATTGGCCCCTTTAAGGGGCCGCTAAAGCTAAATATAGAAAAACCTTTGAACATCATCTCCTACTGAAATATTTGATGGATGATCACCAAACTTTGTCTGTAGCATTCTTAGGTAGTCTTTTATCAAGTTTGCTCATATTAATTTGATTGGCCCCTTTTAGGGGCCGCTAAAGCTAAAAATAGAAATACCTTTAAACGTCTGTTTCTATAGAACTAATTGATGGATGATCACCAAACTTTGTCTGTAGCATTCTTTGGTAGTCTTTTATCAAGTTTGCTCATATTAATTTCATTGGCCCCTTTAAGGGATCTCTAAAGCTAAAAATAGAAATACCTTTAAATGTCTTCTTCTACAGCACTAATTGGTGGATGATCACCAAACTTTGTCTGTAGCATTCTTAGGTAGTCTTTTATCAAGTTTGCTCATATTAATTTGATTGGCCCCTTTTAGGGGCTGCTAAAGCTAAAAATAGAAAAACCTTTTAACATCTCCTTCTACAGAACTTATCGATGGATGATCACCAAACTTTGTCTGTAGAATTCTTCGGTAGTCTTTTATCATGTTTTGCTCATATTAATTTGATTGGCCCCTTTTAGGGGCCTCCAAAGCTAAAAATAGAAAAACCTTTGAACATCATTTCCTACTGAAATCACCAAATGTTTGTCTGTAGCACTCTTAGGTAGTCTTTTATCAAGTTTGTTCATATTTATTTGAACTGGCCCCTTTTAGGGGCATGCTAAAGTTGAAAATAGAAATACCTTTTAACGTCTCCTTCTACAGAAGTAATGGATGGATGATCACCAAATTTTGTCTGCAGCATTCTTAGTCTTTATCATGTTTTGCTCATATAAATTTGATTGGCCCCTTTTAGGGGCCTCCAAAGCTAAAAATAGAAAAAACCTTTGAACATCATTTCCTACTGAAATCACCAAATTTTGTCTGTAGCACTCTTAGGTAGTCTTTTATCAAGTTTGTTCATATTAATTTGATTGGCCCCTTTTAGGGGCTGCTAAAGCTAAAAATAGAAAAACCTTTAAACGTCTCCTTCTACAGAACTTATCGATGGATGATCACCAAACTTTGTCTGTAGAATTCTTCGGTAGTCTTTAATCAGGTTTTGCTCATATTAATTTGATTGGCCCCTTTAAGGGGCCGCTAAAGCTAAATATAGAAAAACCTTTGAACATCATCTCCTACTGAAATATTTGATGGATGATCACCAAACTTTGTCTGTAGCATTCTTAGGTAGTCTTTTATCAAGTTTGCTCATTAGTCATATTAATTTGATTGACCCTGTTTAAGCTAAAGCTTTAATTCCCCAGGTCATGGCATTTCTTCAAATTATAGTTTAAAGATATTCTATGCTCAAATTTAATATTAAAAAATATTGACAATGGATACACAGTCTTTTTATAAATATAAAATAAACGTGTTTTGACTTCACACAAAGAAGATATGTTATGTTTTAAACTCTTCACACTATAGGAGGTCACAGTATAAATATAATGATTACAAGTGTCATTAAAAAAACTTTTTTTTTTTATAGAAAAGACCAACTTTACTTGGCCTATAATAGGATATGCAGCTTCCCATACATAGTTTATTCATTCTTTTATCCAAATTAGACATTTCCAGTAAGAATTTCATAAATTTCAATAAATTTCTATGATATAGGATATCTTTTCATAATGAAAGGGAAACAACTCATGTTGGAATGTGTACATATGTTAAAAGGTTCAATGGCTTGGAGAAAGTCTTAATGTCATGACCTGTTTATGATGTGTAAATATCTTTCAGCACTAGAAATCGGACATCATATTGCATCATTGTAAGGTCAGTTGTAGGTCATTAACTTGTTATTGTTATTGAATTTTGTTAAAAATTGTATTTTTTTCATTTTTTTTTCTTGAATTGGATTTAAACTTGGAAAAAGCACATTTCAATAAATTTTGGGACAGACTGTTGAACCTGAGTTTCATGTGCATAATTGAATTTTGGTATCAGTGGAACTGTTTTTGATATTTTTGAAACCATTGCACATACTTTCTTGTTTTTGATGTACAGAGACTTGAAATTTGGAATGATGTACAGAGACTTGAAATTTGGACCAGGAATGTAATTTCTGATGCGAAATGAATTAAGATATCAACTGACTACTTTTGATATTATTATTTGATATTGTTTGACCTAGTTTGTCGTTTTTTGATGTACCTGCTGGAAATTTGGACAAGGGGTTTAATTTCTGATCCTGAATTGAATTTTGATATGAACTGGCCTACTTTTGATATATTTGATATCGCTTTACCTACTTTTTTTGTCTTTTATGTACAGACTTGAAATTTGGACCAGGGGTGTAATTTGTGTAATTTTTGATGTTGAATTCAATTTTGATACCAGCTGACCTACTTTAGGTATTATTGACACCATTTGACCTACTTTCTTGTATTTTGACATTCAGATTTTAAATTTGGACCAGGTTTGTAAATTCTGATGCCGAAATGAATTTTGATATCAACTGACCTACTTTTGATATTTTTGATATAATTTGACCTTCATTCTTGTGTTTTTTGACATACAGACTTGAAATTTGGACTAGGGGTGTAATTTCTGATGCTGAATTGAATTTTGATATCAACTGGCCTACTTTTCATATTTTTTACAATGTTTGACCTATTGTCTTTTTTTGAGGTACAGTTATGTTACCATACAGAATGTATTAAAAATTTGTTATCCTCAAACATCTACATCTTACATGTTTTGCATGTGACATTTTGTGTTTTCATTCAAAAAAGTTATAAAAAAAATTGATAAGTCAAAATTTATCCTGCTCCAGTTGTCATTTATTCTGCATTTATTCTACATAGTCTGATAGGAACACACTTGCAACATACATATTTTTAACAAAGCCTGTCCAAAATATTAGGGCAAAATATTTCAATTTATATTAATTTTGTGAATTATGAAATGATGGGTTAGATGAGTGATCTAGAGCCATCTTAGTGGCCCTTTTTTTAATATGAAGAAAAAAAGCTAAAACAATCAGTGTTGTGAAAGTATATTACTAGAGGGGCAAGTTAAAGTTGAGCTGAACTTGCTGAAAGAGCTGGACTTGCCTTTCAGCAAATTCTTTTAAAACATAATTTCCAACACTGTAAAGCCGTTGTTTCTGGTGAGCGACTCAGGGCCATAATGGCCCTCTTGTTCACCTTCTTGTCATTTCGTTATAAGTTATCTAACATTTTACTCTTTAACATATGTGTATTTTAACTTAAATTTGTAGAACATCAAGGATGGCAATGACAATGATAGCGAACTTGCTGTTCCAGAAAAGGGCCAAGGCGATAACCAGGATATGAATGACCCCTCTTCTGGGAATGACCTCTCTTCTGGGAATGACCTCTCTTCTGAAGACGAGTCTGATGTTGATCCCGAGGATGACATATTTTATTCAGCATGCGCCATTCCTAATAATTTTCTGATAGTGTACCCAACAACAGCTGGGAAGAGGTCTAAACGAAATACCAGAAAAGGTTCTTGGCTGATAGAGGAGTTAAATGATGTTATTTGTAAGCATGACTTCAAAACTGAACCAACTATGAACTTCCTAAAAGTTCTTACCAAAACTGCTGGTCAAGTAGCCAAGCGAACAACAAAAAAGGATAAGTTTATGAATTCCCCTTGCATTGTACACAAGCTGCTATGTCCACTATTGTTTACTGCACCAGAAAGCAATGAAATGGCAGGGCCCTCTACATCTGATAAACCGGCTCTTTAACACAAAAAATATCTTGTTTTATCCGAAATTAGGGTTCTAGTAATTAACACGATTCTTATACTGAATAATGTTTTATGCATATCCAACTCAATATTTATAATCAATGTTTTTATATATGTTTTTACAGTATGTATTTTCATACTTATTGTTTATATTTGTAACGTCTCTAAAAGTTTTTTTTGTAGAAAATACATAGTCAAAGAATAATTTTAATCTCCATTTGTCATTGTTTTCCCGGTTGATTGCATGCAAATGATTTACAAAACCTCCGATGCGCATGTCTTATTCTAGCAGAACAAACTTATGACCTATAGGAAGATCGGTAATTTTGCCAGGGACTTTGGACTTTTTCATGTGAGGAAGCTATCCAGCTAGCTTACGGAACGTCGGTGGTTGCTGAGGGGCACCTGAGGTCCTCTTCTACCGGTAAAGCTGAAAAGTCGCCATATAAAATTTACTGTGTTCGTACAACGTAGAATGTGAAACCGAAACCCCCCCCCCAAAAAAAAAAAAAAACAATCAGTTATCCCTAGTGAGACAAATGCGCTCGTGTTTTCGGGCATTTATCACAGGTGCTTGTACGACATACTTTATAAAGGAAAGTTATTAAATATGTGTCACTATATAGTTGGAGAGGTGAGACATTAGTAAGTAATTTTGCATGTTGAGAAAGTATATGTATTCATTATCGAGGTATATAACCACAAGGAAAATTTAAATGAAAATTCACCAATAGATCTACTACTTTTTTATATTTCTATTTAAAAATAACTATTAATAAAATCGGAATTTTGCCAACCGGCGCACGTACAAACTTTGACTTTCAATCCAAGCATTATTTTCCGCTTATGTGAGTAGTGCATTTGATTTCATTCATTCAAAATTTTGACATGAACATGAACTTGTATTTTTTCAGCACAGCACGCTAAACAAAAAGTAAACTAAAATGATGTTATTTGGCGTTCACGAAAAATGGAATATCACAAAATTATGCGTTTTTCTTGAAATGTCAACAGATGAGACAAAATGATAAAAAAGTGAAGGTGAAGGACGGTGTGAATATTTATGTACCGTTTGCAAAGTTGAATGAAGTTATGCAGGCGATTTCCGAACGGGAGGACTATCAGTAATTCATAGCGAAATTGTTACCCTAGAAAGAGACAGACGGACAAAATGTGTACAGTATCTTACAGAGTAGGGATCTGTCAAAGTTCTGCGAGTAGAATGTTGACAGACATTCTTTACATGCGAACGGATCCGGTACGCTGGATGTCCTAGCCATTGATCAAAAACTAAATGAAGCCATTATAGCTTTTCTGTCGTGAATCATGTTGTCGTCGAAATGACGTGACTTGCGCCGCTTCCCCTATACTGCATAGTTTCAAATGTCTCTTATTTGTTAACATATATCATAAAATGTATACAATTTCGCATCTACAGCGGAAATACATGTGTATATAATTAAAATGTATATATAAATTATGCCAAACTATCACGTTGTTGGACCTTTACTTCAGAATATTCACAAAGACTCGTGCATTATAAATATAAAGGGTAAGGGATATTTTTCATTTCTGTTATTTAACGGTATCATTTAGAGTAAGGCAGTTAATAAGATTGACCACGTTTCCACTTTAACCATGCATATTGCATTAAAAAGTTTTTTGCCCATCATTACGCGAAAATTTTCAAAGCTGCCGCTGCGCTTATTTTCGAAGTTGTTACTCACCCTGGATGAACAAGTTTTGTCACGTGACCACAAATGCAAACGCCGATTTAACATTTCAGCAATTACGGACCCGATTTCAGGTAATTATTTGAAAATATCTTTTTTTCTACTGCATCCACAAAATTATGACCTAGACCTTAGGACCCGGCGTTAATTGAGCTTTTATTTTATGTATGTAGTAATTGCGAGACTTAGGTGTTCTTTTAGAACACTTCGACACAAATTTTCTTTTTGCAAGGCAAACGCCGATAGGTTTTTAACTTTTCTTATCTTTTTTGTTCACTGGAAACCCATGTAGAGGGAAAATAATAGAAGATATGTCTTTTTACAAGTAATTTTCGTACCTAACTAATTTATAATTTCATTGGCAAGGTTATATTGGATATAAACCCATGTTTTCCACTTACTGTCGATTTTGCAAACGTCGTTTGATCATGTAAAATGTGCAAACGTCGGTTGGTCATGTGAAATATATGCAAGCGCCCGTTGATGTCTTTTTGAACGCTGAACTATATCTGTCTCATTTCCAGAATTCTTCATCACTGATTCTAATAACTCCATTCTGGCCACGACGCCCATGGTTTCCAGAATTATTGAATCTATCGGTAGCTCAGCCGTTATGTCTTCTATTGGTTTCAAATCTGTTACAACAACCAAATCTTAGATATGTCATCCAAAATTAGGTGTTCTGAAACTGACTGCATGGTTGCTATCGACAGACAGTTTAGAGAAAAAGTTTTTTTTCCAAAACTTCTTACAGCCAGCTGGACAACTGGTACTCAGAAAGATTACTCCAGTAAATTAAGATAATTAAGACAATGTATGATATGGTGTCGTCAAAACAATATTGATTCCTTCACAGCATCCTTAAATACGTGTGCTGAGTTTTTATCAGGTCTGTACAATAAAGGTTTACAGTAGGTTACCGCTCCATTTTATCTGCAGTTTTACCTTCAGTAGATAACACTCCTATTGGTCAACATCCGTGTGTTATCAAATTATTAAATGTTTTCAATTTAAGAACTCCTATAACAAAGTTGTTCCCTGAATGGGATTTGCCTAAAGTTCTTAGTGCGCTACAAACATTTCCTTTTGAACCTTTGAGAAAATCATCAATTTAATGTTTAACATATAAAGTTGTTTTTCTTACAGCTTTAACGACATTCAGGAGAGCCAGCTACCTTCAAGCGTTAACATTAGGAGGAGCTATTTCTGTGAAGACAGATGGGGAAACTTTTATCAGACAAGGTTTGGCTAAACAGGATAGACCTGGTCATTCATCAGCAAAATTTGTGTACCAGCTTTTAAGACCATCCAAGAAGAGCACTTGCTATCTATCTTAAAAGAACTGAATCCTTCAGACGTAAAGATGAAACAAGTTTATTTCTGACAATAAATGTGCCTCATTCTAAAGCTTCTTCACAAACTTTGGCTTCATATATTCTTAAAACTATTCAAGAGGCTTATGCAGATAAACATAAAAGTGAAACAGCACATTCTACAAGAGCTTTAGGTCCCGATTCTCAACGCTGCAGATTGGTCAAAAGAAAACACTTTCGTCAAATTTTATTTGAAACAAACAACTCCAAGTTATTTCACTGTGTAGTTCAACGTCGCTGTATAGTTCAACCTAAGAAGATTGATTTTTTTCTAAATTTTTAAATCAAAGTTTATTCCCGACGGATTTTGTGTGGAATTGATTTTTGAGAAGATTATACGGTTTTATGTTTACATGTATATATGGGATCCATATACATGTACAGAGGTTTTAAAAAAGTTTGTTATTGAAGAAGAAGAAGAAAGTTTTAAAATAAAAAAGAAGGAGAAAAAAGAAAAGTCTTTTGTTCAGAGAATTGTAATATTTGCAACTTGACTTAAATAACCACCGGTTTATAAGAATCTTACACCGGCTGCCTGTACCAACAGCTGGTGTTTGATTCTTTTTCTTGCATATTACATGTCAAATACTTTCGGAACAGAAATTATGAAAACTGATACATATATTACGCACTTTTTTCTTATAGTAGCGTATGAACATACAACTTCATTCATAAAGGAAATTGACGTCATCATAAGAACGCGATTCATTCATAAAAGGCGCGCGTCAATGACGTCATTTAAAGCACGCGACTTGTCTTACATGGGGGTGTAAGACAGAGTTCTACAGCACCGGTGTAAACGGTAGATAATACTGTCTGAGATGCAAGAAATAGAGGATATTTGTTTAGTTCAGTGTAAGATCGGAATATATTTTACCGAGTGAGCACCAAAAGGAATATTTCACGAGTGGCGTTTACGTATACATTTTGTAAATGAAATTCAGACTCACTTTTGTCTTGCTAACTCAGAAAAAAGGCTGATTTCACAATTGTAATCTTTAAGTGGAATGGAAGTGAATTGAAAGACTGATGTTAAATGCTCCTTTTATATGTTAATGTGTAAGTTGAATATAGGTACACTAAATTAATTTCTTCTTCACTCTGTTAAGCTAAGCAAAAATAAATTTGAATAACTAATTCTTTAACTACATATTTCGTTATACGTTATTAAATGATAATGCATGTGTTTTTACGTAAAAATAATTTTATGTTACATAGTACGTTGCATATAAATATCGTGTTACATGTATCAGATATTCATTATACTTACGTAATGCTCAACAATTTTGGAAACAAATATTTTCTATTTGACATAAATGAACAGCAAAGAAATAATAAAATGTCTAAACATGTTATTTTACGTTTAAACTTACTCATTTAAGAAGAAAAACAAAGAGCCGGAATTATCTACTCGCGTGTGTTCAAAATATCATTTTTACGTACCTCTTCCAGGGCCTCTCAAAATTACCCGTTATGTTTCTAAATATAACTTTTATGGTGCTACCGGAAAATCGAAAGCTGAAGTTTATTATGGTGCAAGATTAATTTAATACGTAAACAAATAAATGAAATATGCCCCCAAAACACTGATTTTCGGCCGAGTTTATCTCCCAAACCAGTAGGCAAAATTAAAACTGTTCAATAGATTTTTTTAAACTTGACTTGGCAGATAATTTACAATGAATGGCAACAAAACAATTTTTATGCTCCCCGAAAAAATTTCGGGGGAGCATATAGTCGCCGCCTTGTCCGTCCGTCCGTCCATCCGTCCGTCCGTCTTTCCGTCCGTCCGTCCATCCGTCCGTCCCCTTTCTTGTCCGGGACATAACTTTGAAACAACAAGAGGTATCAACATGAAACGTTGTAGGTAGATAGATCTCATTGAGTAGGTGTGCAGTGCACAAGAACCGTAACTCTGCCTTGCCTAATTTTTGAATTATCCCCCTTTGTTTATTTTACACTTTGAACTTTGTCCGGGACATAACTCTAAAAGTATAAGAGGTATCAACATGAAACTTTGTAGGTAGATAGATGTCATTGAGTAGGTGTGCAGTGCACAAGAACCGTAACTCTGCCTTGCCAAATTTTGAATTATTCCCCTTTGTTTATTTTAC